ACTTGTAGTTGGAGTCACCCAACTCTAAATGCATAAATGTACTTCTAAAGTAAATTGCACTATCTAACATAATGAAAGTTGAATTCCATCTAGTTGGTATGTCTTGCCTTAGACCTTTGTTATCTTCAAGATAACTTTGACTCATACATTCAAGGAACTTTTGTTTTCTTGATTGAGAACCCTTAACATATTTAATGCTCTCACACACCTTCATAACAGATGAATCAATTTCTTTCAAACCTTCCTGTATAATAAGATTTATAATATGTGCACAACACCTGATATGGAAAAACTGACCATTGCATAGAAGACCATTTTTCAAATTCAAATGATTTCGTAGATAATCAACAGAAACAGTATTTGCAGAAGCATTGTCTAAAGTGATGCTAAAAAGCTTGCTATCAAGTTTCCATTCAACAAAAAATTGATGAAGTTTCTCGAATAATGCAAGTACATCATGTGGAGGCGGCATGAAACCAAATTTATTACTTTTTTTTGCAATCTCCAGTTATTATTAACAAAATGTGCAGTCAAGCAAATAAAACCATCTGTGTTGATGGAAGTCCATAGATTAGAAGTTAAAGATACTCTACCCTTACAACTTTGTAGAAGGGCTTCGATTTGAATTTTTTCCTTATTAAACATCTTCTTGCAATCATTTCTTGCTGTATTTCTATAAATAAAATGTAAATCAGGCCATAAGTAACGAAGTAATGTTCTTAAACCTTCTCACTCCACACACTGAAATGGTAAATCATGCTTGACTATACATGCAGTAAATAAGCAATGAAATTCTTCATAATCAAATTTATTTGCAATCATCAACATAGAAGTGTTTGAGTTACTTTGAAGTATAAGTTGACTAATATCTTGAGACTTTTTCTTACAGTTTTGCAAGTGGCGTCTTAAATTTCCTGTACCATGTTTACTATCACATAAGTATGTTGCACCACATTTCTTACATTTGCAATGACTTTTGCCATCATCTGCAAGTGGCAACATTTCAAAATGACCCCATACCGTAGAAGTCAACTTCCTCTTCTTTCTATGAACGCTTCCCTTAGTTGGAATGGGATTGTTCAACTCATCACTATCACATTCAACTTCATTATCAACAGGAGCATGCACATGTTCATTTACTTCATTATGTTCAACTTCCTCAATTGTATTAGAATCCTGCATCTAAACACAAAAATACAAAATTGTACTCATAACATCAACATGCTTACACCAACATTCCCATAAAATGTGCAGCATCACAGGCTTACAGCAACAACATCACAGTTATACAGCAAGAAAATTCCAATATTCCATAATAACATGAATACATTTAATCAGTTATAGTGTTATACAGCAACAGCAACTCAGCAACCCGACAACTCCAAGAGGCCCAACCGACTAACTACCAAGCCGTAATCTCAACAACAAAACAAGCCGTAATCTCAATAGCAAGAAAATTGGAAAACTGTAATAGTAAATCACTAAACGACACTCTAACTAACAATATAACAGAAGGAAGAAGAACTTTTTAGCAAGAAAATGTGCAGCATACTCCAGAAAACTAGAAAAGTCGGCCATGGCACATACAGTAAAACACTTATAGTCTTATACTCATAACTCATAGGAACTAAAGGAAGAAGAACTTATACATAAACATAAAACCCACCAGGCCATCACATATTCACAGTTTCGATTTCGCATGACTAATGACTCATCCCGACCACCAAATTAGGTCAAATAAAAATCGAAACAACCGACCACCATCAAAGTATCAAACCAACACTTCAAATAATTAAGATTTAAGAGTTATTCAAGATATTACCAACCATTGCAAGTCGCAACTGAGAAATGGAGAAAGGAAGAGGATTCAAGGAAGAATTCCGAAGGACCGAAGCCAGATGTTTCAGAACTCAGAAGATCAGAAGAAGATATCAAGAAACCTCCATCAGCTCCTCCACGATTCGTCGATTCCACGGCTCCACCCCAAAGCCAGAGCGTGAGAGCGAGGAGAAACCGAGAAATGAAACCCTAGAACCCTCTCGACTCTCGTCTCTCGAAGTCTCGAACAGCTTACAGCATGTCGGGACTCGGGCGCGGAATCGCAGATTTTATTAAAATGAGTAAACAAAATTACGAAACGAGTCGCTTAGCGGGTTATTCATGTCGACCCGCGGGTTGACGGGTTGACCTGAATCCGACCCGAATATATAAACGGGCCAAATCCTTCAACCCGGACCCGACCCGTTTCTTTCATGGGTTGACACGAACCCGAATTTTTCGGGTCGGGTTCAGGTCGGGTTAGCGGGTCGTGTCAGGAATTGATAGCCCTAACAGAGATTAGAAAAAAGACATCCAAGTTACTAAAATTTGAGATATTACTTGGTAAAGAGACAGAAGGAGAGTTTAGTTTGACAAAGAGGAAAACTGTAAATCAAAAGCTGAGTTTTTTCAAGTCATACTTGCCATAAACTCTTTATTGGTGCCATATATTTGGAAGAACTATAGCTCATGAGATTAGATGTTAATCCCTCATCCTCCGAGTAAAATATAAGAAAAAGCTTTAGCGTGTAGAGGACTTTGATTTCTCCACCAGTAGAATCCTACCAGTCCACTCAGTCTGGTCGACATCATGTATTGCTGCATCAGCATGTTCATCATTTTCCAAGGATAAAAATCCGAAGCCACGGGAATAACCTGTTTTGTAAATAGTAAAAAGAATAACACGGGACACATCATTTTTTGTCGTAAAATCATTTTTTGTTGTAAAACAACATTTTGGAGTACTAAATAGCTGTAAATGGCAGTATTAAACATGTGAATTTACAACAAATTCTAAAAGACATATAAAATAACACTATGAAATATAAGTTGGCAGTATTAAAAAGAATTTAGAAGATCATTTAAGTTTAAAAATCTGAATAGATATAAGATGTCATTAGGAGAACCTGATGATAGGATCATTTCAAATTCATTCATCCAAGAGGAGCTCATAAAATTAGAGAGCAAAATAGGTTTCTATTTTCTAGATGATTCCTTCATCAAACCCAAACTTTAACAAAATAAGACCAGGGAATGAAGTCCAAAAAAGTAAAGATAGATGACTAAATGCAAAATTATCAATTAAAATTATTGAAATTAAGGAGGTGGCTAAACAGGAGATATTCAAGATTAACTTCAAAGCAGTATTCTTACCTCCAAAAAATAAAAAGCAGAAGATAAGAAAATTCTACCAACTACATTAAAGGAAGGGAGACTAAAGGAAATGCAAGTTAACCTTCCAATATTTAAAAAGAATAGAGTTACTCTTCCAAAATTCATAGCATAATTTAAAATTTCTCCAAACAGTTTTTTGTATTAGGTAATTAAGAACAAGATTGATAGCAAGAAAGCCTCTGAAGTTGAAAAGAAAATAAGTGTGATAGAAAATGAATTGAAAATCCCGTCCTGGGTTAACAATTCAGAAAGAGTCTTTTGTTCAGAATATATGAAAAACTGAATTTTTCTCATTCAAGAATTTTAACTTAGTATAATCTACCCAACTAAAGCATGATAAGTATAGTTCGTGATAAAATTACCCAATACCTAGTATAAAGCTCTATTACACCTCCATAAACCTTTTTTTTTTTACAAAAATAGAGCATAATTTTAACTATTTTTTTTCTTAAAGCCTAAGCTTAGTCAGTCATCAACACACTGCTATTTCTTAAATATAGATCAACCCACAACTATCTCAAGTCAACATCACATATTAAAAGGAAACCTGTAACCAATTCTTAGATTTGCATGCAAATCGACATACTTATGTAGTGTATAAAAATAGAAAACAAAACTCGCCATTTTAATTAAACTCGCCATTCTAATTACAACTAACTAATGTCTATTATATACCTTGGTGATTAGTTGGAGCCTCATATACTATCATTAGATTTTAGTGATCAAGTAAATTTATCAATCAGGTCGAAAGAGTTGGCCCTTATGAGGGGAAGAATCAAACTGAATTTTGACTAAATATGGCTCCATGCTGTGCTCTAGCTCGAATATGTCGAGCTCAAGTTAAGCCCAATTTTGAAATCGGGCTAGGATCCATCCTGACCTAACCCATTTTCTCAGTACAAACAAGATATTATGGATAAGCCACACTTGTTAAATGATAATCACTATCTAACATAAGAGTACCAAGCCACCTAATAACAAATTCTATACAAATTTGATTAATCTTAAATTACAAATATATCAAAATAGCAATAAAATCCCATCAAATTTGGGTTAGAAATTCCAAATTATATTAAGTCTTGTCTAATAATCAAAATATTAGACACTAACATGAAATAAAATATGAATAAGCTTGAGCTTAGCTACATTCAAAATTTGGCCTATGGGTTAAGCCCGAGAACAACTGAATTGCGGCTTGATTTTGACTTGCTTAGAGGATTTAAGAGTCCAACTAATCAAGCAAATTTTATTTGACAATAAGCCTAGATCCAAGTCATCTTAAATTCACATATGAGTTATAACATATTTCTCCCCTATCTTTTATCACATGCATCACTTTCTTTGGAATATGATATGTATTTTTGTGAAAAGAATAGAAAATTTATAGGAAAAAGCTTCACCCATTAGTCCCAACCATGCCAAATATCCAACAAAAAGTTATCAAAGAAAAAGCAGCATAGGCCGCTATCATCCCATCTTTTATATCTATTTATCCATATATATGAGCCACCCACACATGATCGCTTGTCAGGAAAAACTTTTGTATCAGGAGCGTGCTACAAAAATATATCAATAATATAATATACATGTTCAAAATGGATTCATCAAAATTATAAGATAATTATTTTGCATTGGAAAATAATATTTAATATCCTTATTTATCATAGCCTAAAGGTGATCTATTTTAGGCTTTGTTTGGGACATTATTGCTTCGTAAAGCTGGTCTTTAGTACAAAATCTCTTAAAAACTGGAAAAAAAGAAGTGGTCTAAAACTGTCCCAAATGAAACCTTATTGTTTTGATTATTTTTATAGTTTATTTTTTTATTCTTATTATGATAGTAAAAAGATTTTGTTCATGAGTTTATAACCATTCATAATGAGAAGAACAAGATAAGTGGATATTATTGCACATCCAAATTCCTTAATACTTGGTCGTTAGAAGAGGGTGAAATGAATGCTTGGTTTGCTTTACACTAAGGAATTTGAAATAGGATTGAAGTTCCATCTTTGTCATAATCACTACTAAATTCTTAAAGCGGTGGTCCCTTAACAACATTCATTCATTTCCATCTTTTCAATGGAAAATTGTACTCTTGGTAACAACTTCTCTATTTTTTCTTTCTAACTGCCCTCAAATATAATGAGACAGAGTCTTGAGGAGCTAATCAACTAATTTTATAATTTTGTTTCAATAATAATTGATTGGACGAAAAATTAGATAAAATATTTGTATAAAGAATAACAAATTTATTTGAATTGAAAGGCAGGTAATAATACTAAATTGATATGTTAGCATTTTATACTAAATTCTAGTAATATTAGAGCATTAACAAACCCAATATCTATAAGAATTAAAAAAAAAAAAATCTGTAAGAATATTTATTTGAATTAATTATATTTCTTTGGAAATTAATTAAATTATTATTTTAATATTAGAAAAAAGAAGACAGCCTAATTTGTTTATCATTGAAGAACTTTAATAGACTTTAAGTCTATAGTTTTATACATAAGGACAAAAAAGTCATATTCAATCTTTTTTTTTTTGTTTTTAGTAATAATATAGTCATATTATATAAGAATATTAAATTCATTATGACTAATAAAAAAATAAAGGTGCCTGCAGCAGAAGAAAAGAGTTTCTGCAAAATATTATTACAAATTAATTTAGATTTCATTTTGGAATAATTTTTTTACTGCTTTATTTTTAAGAGAGCAGTCACAGTTTCTATTTGTACACTGACTTTTTATTGTTTTCAGGAAATTTTTATGCTAAGAAGAAGTTTTCTACAGCAACTTCAAAAAAAAAAAAAAAAAAAAAAAAACTTTCTCCACAACAGTTTTATAATCACTTTTATAAATAGCTGCAGTCGTCTCAAATGGACCCTCGATATGACTCATTTCAAAATTAAAATATAAATATTTTTTTAAGGCATAAGATGAATTCTAAAAGAAAGGTACCAGTTTGTGATAATAGAGCTGGATGGCACATGAATACATAGCTAGTGGAATAATATACAAGCATCAAGCACTGAGGATTCCTTCTTCTAATTCTTATTTTCAAATAATCTGATTCTGGCATGTGAGGATTGGATTGATTCAGTGTTGGACTATTCAATAGGAATTAGCGCACTAGAAGATCAAAGGAAAAGGATAAAATGAAAACAATGGACAGATCCAGACCTGGTCCAACTCAAACTGGTCTAGATTACCCCACACAGGCCTAGGTTGAATGAATGCATGGTGCCCTTCACCGCCACATTCCACAATGCCACTACAAATCATGCGGCCCATTGCAGCAACCTCATGACAGCACATAGTTGAACGACAATGTCAAGAGTGAATAGTGTGACAAGCAACAGTGAGTGCCCACTTCCAAGAAGACTACTACCTTCGGTAGAAAATTGGCCTCTCATTTCTTATGATACTCGTTTGATGGATAGATATAGAGAATTCAGCCTTCAAAATATCAATATTGAAGATCACAGATTATGCACACAAATACACAAAAGCTCAAACAACCAATAAAAAACACAAAATCTAGACAACCCTTTTTTTTTGCCATCACATATAAGCCAGCACTCGATATTCATATCCCCTAACTGAAGCTGCCATCATAGATTTTCTTAGTACTTGTACATCTTGAGAATAGTACTTGACATGGTAGCAATAGTTTAGTTGATTCAAGTATAAACTTGACGAACAGGTTTAAAACATAAGAGGAAACCTCTTTGGTCGATACAGATAAGGCTGCATACACCTTTCACGGGAAGCACAAAAACCATGACTCCAGTAGCAAACAAATACTTATAAAAATACGCTAATCAGTATCATCTGCTAGTTATCGTATTGCATTAAATATTTCTAGGAACAATAAACACTGCAAGGATTTGTGTCACGTAAAACAAAACTAACTGAGGAGAACCGGAAAAGTTAACTGGTTAGTCTAGCAGTGATTACAAGGCATTTGAAGCTGGAAGAAAGAAAACTTTTCTCCACATTCCCTTAACTAGCAATCAGATAGGTATTAAGAAAATAACCTCTGAATACTTGTTTAGACGAATTCTTAGACTTTTGGAGCAATCATCGTCTTCAAATGTATTTATTAGACTTGAACGGTGATTATTCATCACAAAAAGAATTGCATGAATAATATCATCTGCAAAGCTGGGGAAGCAACGTCTTGTACCTACAAAATCATACTTTCTAAGGTCATAAAAGCTGAAAAATACCATGGAGAAAGGATTGCAAATCCTTAGGCTTTGTTTGTTAATGCCTAGTTTTTCAAATCCCTACCCCAAAATGCACCCCCTTTTAGAGATAAAATGTTTTTAAAGAGTAGAAGAGAATATTTGTGAATGACAAAGGGAGAGAAACTTGTATTACTTTTTCTCTCTTTCTCTCTTACATCAAAATGACAAGGCCAAAGGCCTATTTATACTTGTACAAAGACCATTCTAGAATCCTAATCTAGAGAATTCTATAATAAATGTTCAACTAACAACTAACTAGAGAAGTTCTTCCATATTCTAGAGAATTCTTCAATACAATTTCCTGGATACAAAAAAAAGACACTTGATAATTAATTTTGGTTTACATTTTCAAACACCCCCTCCATAGCGCTACTTGTAGTGCAACTCATTCATCTCTTATCAGAGTAAACGTGAGTGTTTCACAGAATGAGTTTACTAAACAAAGAATTTAGTCTGTCTAAGAAACTAACACATCCTTATAGCCATACCTGTAGCAAAATCCAAAAGTAAAAGGCAGATCCATACCTAGGGAAAAAAATGAAGAAAATCAAGTAAAAAAATTGAAGATTATTGCACAATATGCTTTATAAGAACAAAAAATGAACTTTTGAACAGAAGTTGTTGTATAAATTTAAATCTTCTATATTGAAAAAATTATTAGAATTAACCTAATTCTATAAAAACCTAGTTGCTGGCATGCTTCATCAGTTCAAGAAGAACTAATCATCTTACCTCTTGAACAAAGGACAATTTTATTAGTTTTCCGGTACTTAAGTGTTGAGTCCACCATCCAATTCCTATAAAGCAGAAACATGGACATGGTGACGCACAAAATCTGAGTGACATAGGACATGAAATCAGAAGAACGCCTAATATTATGTATGCGTAACCATCCATATTACTAATATTAATTTTGTATACAACATAGTTAACATGACAGGTTTTTTCTAATAAGTGTGGCCCCAAGAATTGTTGGAAAAAGTTTAGCAAAAATGACAAACTAAATGATATGTTCAAAATGGTGTTCTAAAGTGTCCAAACACCAGTTAGGAGTAAAACCATAAGTTAGAAGATAAGCGTGACATCCTTATTGAGAGATTATTTTAAAAATAATCTTATTGATATTATCTACAAAATATTGGCTTTTTATGAGTTGAAAGTATTCTTAAATTTATCACCCTCGACAAATAGTTATGAATGACAGATAAATTGTCTTAAGTTATTGAGAGATTAATTTCACTTAATAAATAGTAAATTTTAATTTTTAATGGAATTGAAGCCCCAAATGATTAACTTTGAATTTAGAAGCATTTGAAAGTAATGTCATCCCCTTCGATTAAGATTTCAAGAGGCCATCATTAGCATGACATTAAACTCACTTAAAAATATTTGCATCTGCAAAGTGAAAAAATGATTTTAATAATCAACCTCTCCCGTTGAGATCTTCTTTTAGCATGGCTATCATCGAGATAACATTGAAGTTACTTTAAAAAATATTTATATTTACAGCTTGAAATTTTGAATTTTGAGAATTAACACTTCCAATTGAGATTTACTTTCAAACACTAGCATCAGCATATTGGGGTGGCATTAAAGTTATTTGAGACATTTATCTTTGAAACATGATAATTTGATTTTGAAAATAGATCTCCCATGTTGTGATTTTCTTTCAACATGTGGGCTCTGAAAATTAGCGCCCGACCTCTCCGCAACCCTTTTCTTTCTATTGGTGAGGAGTTTTAACAAGTTTATGTTCTAGGGTAAATTCTCAGAAGGCATATTGGGTTGTTAGATAAGACACTACCCATAGATTTTGCCCTCATTTTGCGAGGACTTCATGATATGAGTTTTGTTTTCCTATAGGCGCAAGCCGCCATAGTTAATTACCCCTCCCGATAACGAGAGAAAACTTTTGATTCGGGCTAGTCTTTGAAAAGATATGTAGTACCCAGCATATACTAGTAGCAGAATTACAAATTGAAAATCGAAGTATTTATCACCACGCACTTAAAGCGGATGATAAAGGGAATGATGATGAACTTGATTATGATCCCATGGTTCCATCGTCCCGGGTCATCATGGTCCCTAGTCTACTTAGTCCGAGGAGGTAGTCGGCCCAACCTAATTGAAGGATCCTTGTCGGCAGTCATGAGCTGCTTCGTATAAGGGAACCTTGTAGATTTGAGGTGAATGTTTGCTTAAGGGGATAATTTTGAATCCATCTTAGCTAACAAAGTGCTTCGTGCCCTATCGATGATATCCTATTGATTTATTACTCAAAGATTTAGAGCCGTTGACGAACATAAGGGCTCTGGTCATCACTTAATTTAGTAGTATCATTTTGTAGTAAAACCACCTCGTCAGAGGGCCCTGATTATAACCGTTTATCTGTGGTGTCATTTAGCGGCGAAACCTCCGGTTAGAGGACACATGTCATGTTCTTACTGACAGAAGATGATTTGAGAATGAATTATAGTGATATTCTCGATTAGACATTCACTCTGTGTGAGCTAAAATAATTTTCAAATTTATCCACCCTGACAAACTGTTGCAGAGAGTTGAAGGAATTTTACTTTAAGTGTTTAGGTGATTTATTTTTATTAAATATTTTGAATTTTTTCTGAAGAGCAATAGATTTGAAATTTTTATTTAAACTTGAGCCCCAAAAAATTAATTTTGAGATTTGAGGGCATTTCTTTAAAATCTGTGTGGACCCTTCCGGTTGAGATTTGCATTCAATACGACAATCATCAGGGGTTTATGGGTATTGTCATTTCATTAGTCGAACCTTTTCAACTATGTTAGCTTATAAATATAGGGTCGGGTTCAGCTCCTATTTAGAGATATTGTATAGATATCAGAAGTAGGGGTATTCATTTTAATATACAATTTTTTTTTTGTAAGAGGCCTTGAAGGTCTTATATGAATGTATAAAATTAAATACTTCGGTTAACTTCAACGAGTGTCGATTATGAGAGTTTATGCTTTTAGCAGTGAACCTTTCTTGTCATAGACTTTGAAGGCCTAATATGAACAGACTGTTGGATGGTTGAATAAATATTTATTAGCTAAAATTTTCTCCAATAAACTAAAAGAGCCACAAAATCTCAAAATATTTTAAAATAAAAAGTTATAAATACATTTCTCTAGGAGCATCGCCTACGATACACATTTTCTCATCTTCTACTCATTTTTAAGCTTTTAAAATAATACTTGTAATTATTTTTCAATAAAAATAGTGAGTTATAAAATTACTCAAGAGTTTTTTGCTTCTAAATTATAGTAACACAAAGCCTTTGAAACAATATGCATGCTCATTTTCAAATATAAAGTAATTCCATTTAAATTCATTTCAAACATAACCATCAATGTTATGCATATATCATATCTTTATCCATATCTGTTGGCTCAAGAAAAATGACACGAATGCATGAATCCCGCTTTGCAAACATAGGATTCCATCTTCCTTGGGTCAGATTGTAGTTAACCAGATTTCCCTTGAGGGTCGTGTCAGAGTTTAATTAGATTTAGGGTCCTTACTTCCCATGAGCACAAGCACTCATAGTTAATTACCCCTCTTAACACGTAAGAGAGAACTCTAGATTAAGGATGAATAATTTTTAGGTATTTTAGTCTCAATTGTGGGGAAAATATAAGTAAACCCGATCAAGATCCCATGTCGTCCTAAGTGTATCGTAGGTTTCAGTCTACCAACACTAACAATCATTAACCGTAGTGTTCAAAGAATTGGATTAGCAGCCATGGGTTGCCTCCTCTCTCTCAAGGATCTCGAGTAGACTGAGGTGGTTAGACTTAAGTTTTGGAGTTTACATCTATTAGCATAACCAGAAGTTGATTTGGTTTGAGTTTATAACTTCACTTAGAAGTTACTCAGAAGTTTGAATTGAAGCGAATCTTACGGCTCCTATTAGAAGTAACTCGGGTGTTTAAATTTGGGTCGGGACTTACGGCTTTCATTGAAAGTAGCTCAAAAAGCGAGTCTTACAGCTTTTATTAGAAGTAGCATATTAGTGGGTCTTACAACATAGCTCTACAGTAAGGCTGCCCGAGGGTTTTATTATTTCGATAGGTCTTACCGCTTCCCTTTAAAAGTTGCCTAAAGGTGGGTCTTACACCCTAATCCTTTAGCTTAAGATGTCTGCCAATTTGAATTTGATTGTTTGGGGTTTAATAGTTCATTTAAAAGTTTCTCAAATAATAAGTTTGACGACTTCTATTAGAAGTTGCCTAATTATTTGGGTAGGACGTGTCTTACTGCTTCCTTAAAGTCTTACAATTTAGCCTTATAGGCTAAACTGCTCGGAATTGAGATTTAATTTGAGAGAAGTTTCTCTCAAGTAATAGGTCTTACAAATTCTTTTTAGAAGATGCTCGAAAGTGGCTTATTACTTCACTTAGAAGTGGCTCAATAGTAGATCTTACAACTTCACTTAGAAGTGGCCCAATAGTGGGTCTTCCTGGTGCCACCAATTTTTCGGTGTGGGATGATTGGTCTTCTCAGCACCAGGACCAATTCCCCTTCCTGAAATGATCGAGGACGCACCATTCGATCAAAGGACTTTGTCATTCTTCCTCGGTAGATTTCCAAATTTTGTTGGGCTTGTAACCTGAGTTCATCAAGTGCATCAAGCTCTTCCATTCTGAGACGGGCATTTTGTTCTTGGGTGAGATCATTCTGGACTGCTACCCGGAGTGACGGTAGTTCAATCTCTAATGGTAATACGACTTCAACTCCAAATACCAAAGAGTAAGGAGTAGACCTGTCAATTTCGGGTCACGGGTCGGGTTCGGGT